ACTGAGAACTGAGATTCCGTATAAGGCAGTTATGTCTAGTCGCGTATTTCCCAGTGCAACTGGATCTGGTTACAGAGTATTGATTGGTTTTCAGCGGGGCAGATGTGATTTTCGCGACCTCAACTATAGATCCTCTGAAGGCTGTGGACAGATTTGGGATTGAATTGCACATTTGAGACCACCCCGAGAGCAAGAATTAAAAAAATTAAATTAAAAAAACGTCACCCATTGAATACGCATTGTCAATTGGAAACGATGTGTAGTTTTCTGTACAAGGCCTCTAAAGGGTTTTCAAATTAGCTGATGATAATTTGGCCGTAAATGTTAGGAGTCGCCGTTTTAATAACAGTACTGCTGAAGGTCAGTAGATAACGGAATTAATAGTTCTGTTCTGTCTTTGACATCATGCTTTTCAAATTAATTTGAAATTAATTTCAAAACTGAAAATCGAAATTCAAATGGCTTTACCTGTTTATAGATGAAACACTTGGTACTGTGTCGTTGTCACAAACGCCCTCGGCCAGGAGTCGGTCTCTGATCTCCCAGGCGAACATTGTGGGATTCTGCCGCTTGTATTCTGCGATTTTATCCACAACTTTGGGCGTCGCCACTTTTGGTTTGGACCCCCCAATAACTCCAGGTTTAATACTGCCGGTTTCATAGTATCTGGAAAAATATGAACGACAATTCGTTATTTAAAAAATTCCTTACATGTCAGAGTACTGGCGTTTTTTTTTCTTCTTCTTTGTTTGCTAGCGTGTGGCATTGAGCATATTTATAAACAGCTAGTGCGTTATGGATACGGGTCATAAATAGGCTAGTTATATAATCTGTTAATTTAATATATTTATTTATTTGAGTTTTAAATTATCATGTGTGATTTTTCTTCCCAACCCTTGCGACGGGAAAATGTGTCATTTTTATTTGAACACCTACATTTGATATGTTTTCCGTGTTGAATCATTAACGTTCGTATGCTGCGATCTAAAATCGTAATCATCCATTTATCAAACGGTTTCTGTAGCGACTGATATGTCCCATGCACCCCACGATTAATACATGCCACCAACACATATCTCATAATTTCTAAGGAACATTTAAAATGCAGAATACCTTATAAGATCCTTTTGATAGCTGAAAAATATTTCAGAAAATTCAAAAATCTATAACAGTTTCCTAGAAAACATATCCTTCCACCTCAACAATGAATTTAAGGTCAGAAATGTTTAATAGGCCTATTAGACCTTTTCACTAAAAGGGAAAAACTTAATAATACGACAAATCACAGTACAATAATGTTTAAGATGTTTATTTACATGACGCAAACATTTAATTACTATTGTTATTTCTACACGTGTATAACTGGACAAATGTACTACATATGTACTTTTTCGTACCTTCCGAGAATTTTGCTGACACAGCCATGGCTGACCCGTAGTTGTCTTGAGATGTCACAAGGTCTGACTCCTTGGTGCGCGAGCTCCACAATTCTTTGCCTGACCACGTCAGGTAGGGGTCTGCCATTCACAAACACCCCTCCTAGCTGGTTCACACCGCCGTGCCCTATATGGGATACAACAACACAGACACAAAAAGCATAACATTACATACATATAGAAGATAGGCTGCGCCGTTAACATGGCTACCATACAGAAGCGTTTAATTTTCTCTTTCTCCCCTCACCCTCTCTCTCTTTCTCCCTTTTAACACTCTCCGCATGGAAGCGCGCACGCACGCACACACACACATACCTGTGCCCATGTGGACAACGATAAACAATAAGATAGTTAGGCTATAATGTTTATCTTAACTAAGAAACATGATGGAAAATGTATCCGTAAACGGTCTTGACGTCCCAGTTCTTTTTATATTTATTTGTACTGTTTTTTGTGTTTTTTTTTTTGTACTATGACAATATCAAAAAAAGGCTATTGAAAGGTTCACGCGGCGACAGTTAATGTTTTCCTCATACAGTTAAAACAAATTAATTTTGCACGTTGGACAGTAGTTTTTAATTTATAGTTAGTTCAATTAATTTCTTTATGTTTATAGATATATTTTGTCAGCACGATAAATATCTACTATTGTAATAATAATAATAATACAAACATAACCATCTTTTTATACGCACTCATGATTGTAAACACTGTCAAACGTCATGTGCTATTCTACCCATAAGACCCGCTGCAGTTAGGTAGTATTTTCCTCTACTATTCCATTGCAGCCAAACACATGTCGCATAGATTATGTTTCAACCTGTTTAATTTTCCTTGCACAATTATTGTAAATAATTAAAAAGAGCTTTGATAACTCATATTACAACCATGGAGTAGGCTACTGCAAAATAATTAAGAATTAATTATTTAAATTAGACCCAGGCCTTCCGTCATCTTGTTACAATACGGTGTTTTCAACAAATATCGCACAAACAACTCTTTTAAATTATTATGGCAAACATCAGGCATTTTCTCTGATTTTTAAAATGTAGAGCATATTTATTTCCATGAGAAATTCCTCGCTTTAAAATGCAGAGTTTTTAAAGACAGTGTTGTGTATAATAATTTAATCTTTTGCAATACATCTGGTATTATTGCGTTGGCACATGTTAGACATTTCTGACGATTTTGATTTATATTTATATTCTTGCTGAAACTACATCTGTTGCCATCCCACATGTACCGGTAATTTACTCAGATACTGAAGTTAAAAATAATAAATGTATTGTTTATAATATCATAATCATTTACGTTTTACATACAAGGCAGAATAATTAATTTTAAATTAAGCTAAATATTGTAATCGACTTTTTGAACGACTTTTTGTCGGAACAAACGATTTAAAGGCCGCTAAATATAAGAAGCGATCGTATTTTTATTCGCGGTGACTACTTTTCGTATTCGCTTTACTGAGCGTCAAGTATAACAATATTTAAACAATAATTTCCTACATTTCTTGTAAGAGCTTTGGAAAACTTAGTAAGAGTAAATAGCTTAACGCGCAAAGGTTATATAGTCTTACAAAGCCAACTCTACCGAAACGATGAACAATTTAGACTTTATTTATGCTAACCGAGGTAGAGATTTTTAAGGAAAATACTGATATTTTACTCACGGTGCATCGCCGAGAAGGGGTCTGCTTTGCAGTGAATATCCATGGGATAGCAAAGGAAGGAAAGATAATCGACTGAGGTCGCCGTCTCGCCTTGATAATGTAGCTTTAATTGGAATTAATAAAGATCGCTATCCGTTCAAAGCGCAGTGCTTCCGATGCCAGTGTACAGAAGTTCTTCAGCGCGCGACGAACTTTATCTCGTGCTGATCAGTCCATTCAGTGAAGACACGAGGCTGGTCAGGTGCAGATCATGTCCTGCACTGGTCTCTCAGAAAAAAATATTTTACGCAGGAACGTTAGCGTAATCAGTCGTTCAGTTAATATTTGTTAGCTACATATTTAAGGGAACGCAAGCATTAGTGGTTGCGTCTCCTCCAGTGTCCTCTGATGAAACTGCAGTGTAAATTCCTCGATATGGAGAAGCGTTTCTGGTAAAGTCTGAGGGGTACAGTCAGATTCGAGCGGGGATGACAGGAAAAAACATGGACACGGCGAGTGTCTCTCGGTCCCCCTCTCTTCAAGAATGGGATGTGCCTGTTAGAAGCTTTGGGCTGAGACTGAAACCCCTCTTCTCAGTGTGTCTGTTTCTAAAAGCTGCAGTCCACCGCCCCCCCTCCTTCCCAGATCCCCCCTCGCATAGAGATGGATGACATGTCAGACAAAGGCAATAGATTCCAACACTTTGTGATTCGCCAACGCAAAAAGCTGGAGCACCAAATGAGGAGGTCTCTTCATCTGACACTTCGGAAGGGGAGGGATGCAAACAGGGAAATGAGGAGAGATGGGTTAAAAAAAATCGAGGAAATTAAAAGACAAGTGGAAAGGAAGCGGCACCACCAGCGGGCAGGCATCGTGGTATTTCTAAACTGTATGTTGTCAAACTACATGAATCATGTTTGAATCATATTGGTGACCTAAACGTAGACTGAATGTAAAAAATTTGGTGTTGTTGATGGGCATAATGTTGTCAAGATGAGACTATTTTAAGATGAAGGAACGTCTTAATCTTTATAACAATGTTTTCAAATTCTACTGTCTGTTTTTCTTTCAATTAGGTCTTGTCGGGTGTTTTCACATTTTTCCACCGAACATCGATTGTAGGCTAATGCATTGGCGTTAAATAATAGTAAATTGTTAAGCAATATTTTGGCATTTATTTTCTAAAACAGGACATACGCTGATGCATTTATTTTCTAAAACAGGAAATACGGAAAATGTAAACAATAATATAAAGCATAAATATACGCAATGTACATATATAAATATAGCCTACAATCTGAATTTCTGACAAATATTTGCTGCATCTGACAGCTATATTACAATCGAGAATTATAAGTATTATCATTGCTTTTGGTACTGTAACAACACTACTACGTTCGCTGGCCTGTCAAATGTGAGTAAAAGGATTGTGTCTTGACCATGCTGTTTGAACTGCTGTCTTGTAGGTATTTCTGTAGATGGCGCTGCTTAGTTTGCTTTATTTAACTGAGGGAGGCTCTTGACGTTTGTTTTATGGCTATCCAACAAAATGTTTGATTGTTGATGAATTTAATGTTTGTTTGTTAGTGAGTTAGGTTTTATTTATTTTCTTATTTTTATTTATGTTTCATGTTATTTTTGCTCAGATATATAAGAAAAAATGTTTTGTAGAACTGAAATCGATGGTTGTTCATCGTTGACTCGTGGTTTTGTCCGTTTGTTTATGCAATAGGTAATCACTGAGTGTACCCATGTGCTTCAGTTGACGCTTCGCTATTTTTTTAAAAATTATTTTAGACTCTTCTATCTTTTCGCTATTTTTTATTTTAAACCAATTCTATCTATCTATCTATCTATCTATCTATCTATCTATCTAGGCGACATTTCTAATAAATCGATATAAAATGTTTATATGGGTACTTGTCTCAGAAAAAAAAGCTATTTCAGAATAAGTTTTTAGATCCTGGAGCATATTGTGATCATGTTTACTTTTTATCACTTTTTAAAGCAGGTGATAAAGTCAGCGTGCTTTCGTCTTAAATTTCATATTTTTTTATGAAAAAAATGTATTTTTATTTTTTTAACAGTTAAAATTCAAATACAATGGTATGCACTAATTTTACGCATCGCACTCATCGTTATTATCACACTGTTATCGTTGTTGCCATTATTATTGTTTTTTCTTTCTTTCTTTCTTTTGTAAAATTGCACGTACGCACAGATCTGAATTTAAGCACCACAAATGCTGTGTTTAAAACAAAAATGCTTGTAGTAATTAGTAAAAAGTGCTTGACTGAAGAAAGATCTTACACATTTATGAAGTGTTCGCCCTGTGACCGTTGTAGGTTCGGCTAAAAGAACAGGAGGCTATGTTATGTTATGCCTTCTGGCTAAATTTGGGGACGATTCTTCTTTTTGTTAGTATTTTTGGAGGGAGCTTCTGGTACAATATGTAACACCATGGGCTGTAATTTCACACTCGACTACACATTTCCCCTAAAGCTGCTTTTATTTCCCCGCAAGACCCCAGCTTTTTGCCTCCACTCCCTTTTACTATGTTAGTTACTTCCTCTGTTAAAAGATAGGAAAACTAATTGCAACTGATCATAGTGGCCATTGAATACTAAAAGCGGGATATTGAGACTTTGTCTGTGCTACAATATAAAATTATATTTCATGTGGCTCCTCGATGTTTTTATATATATAT